ACAAAATTGTCACTGATAACCAACTGAAAACAGCTAAATAGCCAAAACACAGTAGAATGTACTATGACATTAAGTGGTGATGGCAGATGAATGGGGTAAAGGGGGGGTGGGGTGGGGAGAGACATAAGAGAAGTGAGTTTAAATTCAAAGGAGAGGGGGAGATTGTTGTGAGAGGAAAGAGATCAGACAAAACTAAAACACCAGAACACAAAAAAATTCTCAACATAAAAAGTTCAAAAACAAAATTAGATAAACATAAAAATAAAAAAATAAGCATACTTTAAAAATAAGTCAGGCACTGGGTACTCATTCCTTTTTAAGTTAATAAATACACATAAAATAAAAAAATTAAGTCAAAATATTATTAAATGTTGAGAAGGGGAAATGAGGAAACAGCGGGCAAAGAAAATGAAGCAACTTTGGAAAAATATTGCCCAATAATGAAAAAAAAGTGCCAACAAAAGTAGATGAACATATTCAGAATAACAAGCAAAATACTAAGAGAATCACAGGAGTTTAAGAAACCATGAGGTGTTTCTTTCTTGATCCTTGAAAATTGAAGATTGCCAATTATTAACATACACTTGGAGGAGAAATCATTTTAACTTGTGGACTCTTCCTTCGTACACTTTATACTACTGTTGAGTCTGTGTTGGACAAGTATCTAATGTCTGCCAGAGCCGACCTCACCTGGAGTTTTCCTTCTTCCTGTTCCACAGCCCTCCACTGGCCATACTTAGCTTTGAGGTCTGGGCTGGGCAGGTTTCCTCACCCTCCCCAGGCTGTACTGCTGTAGCTGTTTTAACTGTGGCCTGTATCTCAAGTGCACTGGGACCGTGGGAGGTATCTACATCATTGTGACTGGTACAGGCAGAGGCCCTGCCTTTGTACTTTCAAGACCTCCTGAGTATTAACCACCCTGCTGGAGGGACAAAGCTGTATTGTGTACACCCCTGAACTGCAGTTCTCTGGCTCTGCAGCAGTTGATGACAGATTAGGTGGCTTCAGAGTTTGATCTACCAGTGCTGGCCTCAGGCTTAGAGCTATTAAACTCCAGTTATTTTCAGTTGAGATCTCCTGGCCACTGAGGGTAGAGATAGCCTTCCCTATGCACGTCTCTGCCCAAGTGAGCTCCCGACACCTTTACCATTTGGTTGTGCCTGGCTCTACTGATCTCCACAACTGCCTCTCTGGACCATCCCTCATAGGAGCCTGAGGAAAAGTTAAGGATTTTCAGCTGGTGGATGTGCCCTGTTCTCAGGCTCCCAGAGTAGCTGTTTTTAACAAGTCTCTTCCTCAAGATGGCACCCAGCAGTAGTGCTCAAGTCACAAGGCATGACAAATGTAATTTCTTTACCATCGACTTACCAGTCTTGCCAAAGCTCACAGCTGGATTTGAGGCTTGTGAGGGCTGTGCTGTGAGCTAGTCCTAAGGGCAGGACTGACCATCTTTTGTCCTTTTGTAAGTGGCTTTTGCTTTCCCACCCTACTGGGAAGCTGCACACTTTTCTAGTCTCCTCCTATCACCTTTCTCCCCCTGATCTTTTAAAGGTATCCTTTTAGTTCTTCAAGGATTTTAAATACTTTTTCTTATTCTGATTCTCCTACTGGCTTACAAAGGCAGCTTCCAGACACAGTATTACTTGGAAGTCCTGATGTTTTTGGTTTGGTAAGGTCTCACACTGCAGCCCATACAGACCTGGAACATAGCATGTAGCTCAACTCAGCTTTCCATGTATTGGCATTATAGGTCTGAGTCATGACACCTTCTATTCTTTTTATTATCAAGAGTTTTCTACAAGGAGGCCTTACACATTTCTTGGGATCTTTGTCTTTGTGAATATACTCATCTTTTGAAATTATGTAACACTTCATTAAAACTATGAGCTTTGTGTTCCTATAACTAGCAGCCTTGCTGAATTTTTATTAAAGGTAGGGTAGCAGCTAGATTCCTGCTTCATGTTCTAACAAAAGCAAATATTAGAAGGAAATGCACTTGCTGCTGCTCTGGTGATCAGCTAGCATGTCCTCTTCCAGCACTGGGATAAACACATATTGATTTTATTCTAATGTTTTCAATTGCATTTTTGCAATTTTCATACAATATAATTTGATGTTAGATCACCCTCATCAACACCTTTCCTTATTGATACTCTAATATATATATATTATATAAAAATACAGCCTATAGAGTCTAATTTGTGTCCCCAAATGTCCTTCAGTGGGGATCCATCCACTGGAGCCTGGCTCTTCCCCTCCCAGGAGTCATCAGTTGCCAATAATTCCTTAGGTTTGGTTGGAGTTTTTCACATCCTTCCTCAAGTCTATGCTGGAATTTTGTCTGGTTTGAGCCTGTGTGGGACTTGACATATATAAAAATACAGCCTATAGAGTCTAATTTGTGTCCCCAAATGTCCTTCAGTGGGGATCCATCCACTGGAGCCTGGCTCTTCCCCTCCCAGGAGTCATCAGTTGCCAATAATTCCTTAGGTTTGGTTGGAGTTTTTCACATCCTTCCTCAAGTCTATGCTGGAATTTTGTCTGGTTTGAGCCTGTGTGGGACTTGACATACTGTCACCATTGCTGTGCATTCAAGAGTAATAAACACACATTTATAAACAGGGAGCACAATTACACATTCCGTAAATGCCCCCAAATTAAGAATACTCTTGCTTTCCATCTGCCTCTTTCAAATTTTCCAAGACAATTACAACTGTAAATAATTATATGCCTTTTCTATATAAGGAAAAGTCCTGATTGGGTGTGATGGTACAGACCTTTGATCCCAGAACCTGGGATGCAAAGGTAGATCGATCTGAGAGGCCACCCTGCTCTATTCAAAAAAGCCCTCAGCAGTGTATGTGGTGCAGCTGTAGCTAATGCAGTTAATTCATAAGAGTACACTGAAATGGGGATATCATCCCAAAATAGCACACTTTAGATATTTTGAGCTTAAAATATTTAAATGACATTATGTGCCAATTTTGTTTTTGAGACAGGGTAGCTCTATAGCTCCAGCTGGCCTGAAACTATGTAGACCAGGCTGGCCTTGATCTCATGGAGATCTGCCTGCCTTTGCCCTCAAGAGCACTGGTATTAAAGGCCTATGGCACCACATCCAGCTACATGCCAATCTTTTAAAAAGAAAAGCCAAATGTTATGGACATCCTGATGAAAGATCCCAGCTGTCCTTGAGTATTCTGAGAACACTTTAGAACAGCAGTTAGAGTACTAATTTTACTGGATAATCCTCAAATCTTCGTTGTTTTGCTTACAAATAATTCAATATTTTTTCTTTGAGGAGTCAGGGAGCAGTAGATATTACTGAAAGCACTTGATGAAGTAGACTTGCCCTGTCCTTCCCCGACCCCTTCTTCAGGGAGTCGATGGCATCTGTGTAGAGGAGACTCACTGTGTAGGGAGACTGTGGGACAGGGAGTCCCCAGCAGCTGAGGGTCTCTTCCTCTTGTTCTTAATTTGGCTGCTGCTCTATGGAGATCTTACTCATTGGAGGCCAGGCTGACTATACATTCATCATTATGTTGCTACAACTAAATTCATAACCAAGAAATGAGCTCAACAAGTGGTCATTTGGTGAAGTGTCTGTCTCAGCATTGAAGATGGAAGTCTTAGTTATAGGAAACAACCTGGTCCTTGGTGTAGCTCAGGATATCCTTTAGGACAGGCACTCTTATGTATGTCTGATGGTGATCTTTCTTTTTTTAAACAGGGTCTTACTACATAGTCCATACTGGCCTCAAACTCACAATCCTGCCTCATCACCCTCCTAGGTGCTAGAATTATGTGTGTGCAACCATACTCAGCTCCCACTTTCTCAATGTCACATCCACTAGCGTTCTGCACACAGCAGGTCACGTCCATGATGACAGCATGGGGACACAAGCAAGCATGCAGGGGTTCTGGGATGTCCCATGGTTGTCATGTCCATCCATCATCTTTTGGGGCAGAGATGGCACTGATTATGGTCATGAGTCCTTCAACAGTGCTAAAGTTGTCATGGACAACCTTGGTCAAGGAGGACAGGCAGCTGGCAGGGCAGGAGGGATTTCTGATTAGATTGAGGGTGTCATCTTATTTCTCATTGTTCAGGCTCATGAAAACAACAGTGGCATCAGAAGAGGCAGAGAAGATGACTTTTTTTTTTGACTCTGCTCTTCAAGAAAATCCTGGCTTTCTCCATGGTAAGGCCACCAGGACATCATTTCAGCACGGGCATTACATCACTTGATGGTGGCAGACTCTTTTCTGAGGCTAGAGATGGGCTTTTCATGCATGACCAGCTCCCTATTTTCAATGATGCCGCTGCAGTTAATACTATGTGAAGAATCATACCAAAACATGTAGATCATGCAGTTGAAAAGTTGAGGGAAACAATATTAAGTTTGCCAGAATATAAAGTAGCTCGGGCACGCAATATGGCCACATCTGTGTTCTGACTTTTGCCACCATCTCCTGGACATGGCTGGCATTGCATGAGAAGATGCAGTTGTCTGCTAAAGGGCAGAATGGACAGCTGACAGCAGTTGTAAATTGTTTACCTCTTTCCAAATACCTTAAATGGGAATTCCTTAAATCAACTTGAAATTTTTACATTAGATGCAATGGACATAAACCAGATGTGAAAAACACAGCTGACTTTTGGTGAATTCACGTAGGGTGAAGAGGGAAGCAAAGCAATAGCGGAAGTGCAGACTGTATGTGGAGACAGTAGCAATCAGCGCTACAAAAGCAATGGTAGGCCAGGCTATTAAACTGCCATCGAGTTTTAGAGACATCATCACACTTAGTGTGATGCACACAAACTATATGAACCTATGCAATATTCCTCTACTAATCTCGACCCTCCCCTTTTGGTAGTTTTTCAGGCTGGGTTTGACTTCAAACTTGTGATCCTCCCCCTTCAGCTGGATTACAGGGCACCACCATGCCTGGCATTTGCCAATGGTTTTCATTGTCATACATAAAATCAGGAGTGAATATTGAATTTTATCAAAGGTCTTTTTTGGCATCTATTAGAAAATTCTTATTTTCTTAACTTTTTCTATTGATATAGTAAAATATAGTACATTAACTATCAATATGAAATATTCTTACATTCTGGAGTAAGCATGACTGTTAAAAGTGATTTTTATCTCAGTGTCTACCTTTGCGAGACTAGCAGAAAGCTTTCTCTTACATGCTGGCTGTCCTCTCCCCTCAGAGCAGTGTTCTTCCCTGCTGTGTTTTAGTTAACTTCCTGCTTCACTCCACCACGCTTTGGGGTGCTTACATCAGTATAACAGAAATGCAAAATATGGGTCCTTCTACTCAGCCTGATGAACCTGTTATTAAATATAAATTACTTCTAAAAGGGTTTTTGTTTGTGTAAGCCAAATGCTTTGAATCTTACAGTAATAAGGAAAATCACTATCAGATACTGAAGAGTTTCTAACTAAAGGGAAGGAATCTATTCTAAATATATCATGAAAGCAAAAAGCAGTAAAGGAAGTGAACAGTGTAACTTTATGTGCATATTCCTTCTGCTTCTACAAGTACAGAAACTTCTTTAGAAAGAACTGATTCAGGGCGTGGTGGCACACACCTTTAATCCCAGCACTTGGGAGGCAGAGGCAGGCGGACCTCTGTGAGTTCAAGTCCAGCCTGGTCTACACAGTGAGTTCCAGGACAGCTGGGACTACAGGGAGACCCTGCCTCAAAAAGACCAAAAAAATAAATAAATAAATAAACAAAAATAATAAAGAACTGATTCAATCAATACATGAAAGAGAAGCTTAAAAACTATCACCTGACTAAAAGACACCCCCATCATAGGTTTTAATAGTCTTCAAAATAGCCACTTCTTGGGTAGTAAGATTTAAAAAAATCCATATGTGTCAAGTACAAAAAAAACATTATTTTATATTTTAAGTCTCTTAAAATATTGAAACATCTTATCTGAGAATACCTACTGTTATTTATCATTTATATAAAGGATAAATTAACCTGTTTTCCTCCTAAAGCATATCTAAATTAATTAAACAGCCTTAAAAAATGCTTCACTAGGTTTTATCTTCTGTTTAAGGGCCTGACGATAAAACTGTCTTTATAGTCTATCTGGTTTCTAGTTTCAAATGAAACCAGAAAATCATGCAGTTTCATTTCGGTTGTGACTGATGAGTTATAAAAGGGAAGGAGGTGGTGCTGATGGAGACTGGGCATCCTCTTAGCCCTCACATTTAACTTTCTTGCAAGCTGGAAGAGAATCATCATCCCCTTCTGATGGCCGAGGTTTCTTCACTGTAGAAATAATTCCAAAAGCAGTTTTTCTAGTTTCTGTAAAACAGAAATCACATTGTTTAGGGATAAATCATGGTTCTGACTGTCTGTCTTATTTGGTTTTCTGAGACAGGGTCTCACTATGTAGTCCAGACTGGCCTTAAACTTTTTACATAGTCCAGCCAATTCTGACCCTCTTGCATCAGCCTTCTGAGAGCTGGGATTATACGCAAGCACCACCATAGCTGGTGATAAGCTACAATTGAAAGAAGTGGTTTAACCAGCATCGCCCCATTTCTTTGGCTTACAGCACTGACAAATAATGAAACCACAGGGAGATCCTATGGGTGCTGATGCATGGATGATCATTTTATTTTTCCCAACATGCACAAATGGCATTTTTTACATCTAATTCATCCCTAAGGATTACCTCTTAGGCTAAATTGCAGATCAGGGCTTCTCTATTTAATCTCTCCATCACATCTCAGGTAGTCAGAACCCAAGTCACTGGCACCAGTCTAGCAAGTGCTTTATATATGATAAAAGATGGACAAATCAGGAGCACAAAAACAGGAGTCACTTGTACTGCTCACATAATAAGGACTGTGTATCTCATTTCACAGTATATACCATCTCTCTCACTAGATCATTAATGGACCTCTGAACAATTGTGCTATGTTGCCCAACAATGGCCTGGTACACAATAGCCATCTAATAAAAACTTGTTGAGTGAACAAAGGAAATCAAACTCACGTTTATTGGTCCTTTATATATTGTTAATAATAGACAGAAAAGGGGGATTATTTTGAATGCTCAGGTCAATCTGGCTGCAGAGCTGAACTTAAATTGAGCCAACCTGTCCTAAACATGTTAACAGGCCAGGCACTATCATACACAGATAATATGAAGATGCCTAACAGTGTTTTTAAAATGTATAATACATCGGGATAAGTACAATGAAAACAGACACAACAGGAATGAAGGCACCCTCAAGAATTAACTTCCCGGATGAGCTAATGAAGTGCCATAAAAAAGTGACAGAAATAAAAATAGCAATAGGAAAAAGCAAAGAAGGAAAAGCATTCCTTTGCAAGAAGTTTTGCCTCATTTGTAGGTCTTAGATTTCACAAGATAGATAAAATCGTGGATATACAGACCACAGGAAAGTACAAGTACAGGAAACAAAGGGGACTGCCTAGTGAACGAAGTCGATGAATGGTGAAGGATTATTGGGGGAGTATGCAGGAGCATATCCATCTAGAGAAAAGGGAACAAGAGAGAGATTTAGGAATCTATCAAAATGTGGGCAGGTGGGGCTGGAGAGATGGCTCAGCAGTTAAGAGCACTGGCTGCTCTTCCACAAGACCCAGATTTGGTTTCTAGCACCCACATGACAGCTCATAACCACGTGCAATTCCAGTTCCAAGGGATGTGATGTTCTCTTCTGGCCTCCATGGGTATTTCTAACAGAGGTGCACTTACATACATATGGGCAAAACACTCATTCACATAAAATAAAAATAAAATATTTTTAACGTGGGCAGGGGCACACATGTAGTTTGAAAGAACACATTCAATATTCATTTCTGAAATGCAAACTACGCTCTACAAATTACAGAAATTAAAGCCTCAAGAAAGGGCAAGAAAGCACTGATTGTATGGTTAGAATGGGATGGAAAAGACAGTTTCACAGGTGCTAAAGAGGAATAACAAAACAGACATAGGTCAATTACTGGATAAAAACGACCTACCTCCAAGATGACCATTCAGTTTTAACTAGAACATGCTTACCTCCATGGAGAAATGCTGCCCGGCAATTTGTGGAGACAGCAGCCTTAGCATCACTTTCAGACAGACCAAACAGCAAGCCTCTGATGGGGCCATTAAAGACTTCAACCCAGAGTCAGCCAAGGACACAAAGACTAACACAAACATAAAGAAAACTGCTAGCTCCCTGGTCACAACCGGAGACAGAATCCTCAGTTCTACAATGGTTCTTAGCCCATCTGAAACCTGCATCTGAGAAGAGGCTTACCTGACTCTAAGCTTCTATCTTACAGAGCCCCTCATTTCTCCTTTTTTATACTTAATCCAAAAACCAGAAAGATGAAGGACTCTATAACCTGTTGTCTGCTTTCAAAGCTGTTAATCAATAAACTCATAACTAAAGGGCGAGAAAAATATCATGTTAAACATTGATACCACTTTGAATTAAAACATCTCTAAAAAAATTTGGGCCAGTGTGCTAGTTCAGGGGGTAAAGAGGCCTGCTGCCAAGCCTGAAGGCCTGAATTCAATCCGCAGGATTCATGTGGTGAAAGAAGAGACCAATCCCCACAATTGTCCTTTAACTCCCACAAAACACCCCCCATAATAGACAAATTTTTAAAAAAGACAATTTCAACTTCTTACTAAGAAAAGGATACAAGTTCGCCACATCATACGGACCTCTTATCTCCAAAGGCTAAAATAATACAAAAAGTAAAATATGAGAAGTTATTAGTAACATTTCATTTATTCACAAGTTAATAAGATACATCTAAGTATTCAAACAGATATATATCATAAATTTAGGTCCTTATAACTTTGATAGGTTTCTGAAAACATAAACAAGCCATATAAGTTATTTTGTTACAATGTAAAGGAAAACTTTAATACTCTAACTCAGAAATTTTATTCTAACTCACAAAGTTTATTAACTCACAAAGTTTATTCTAATTTATTTATCTAGTTTATTCTAGTTTATTTATCTAACTCACAAAGTTTATTAACTCACAAAGTTTATTCTAATTAACTCACAAATAAAAACATACATAGGCAAAACTTGAAGTCCTAAATGAATGGGATACATTTTACTCTTCAGCAACTGCTATGGGTAAATGCAGTTAAAACAGCAGAGAAGCTATTTTATAAAACATTTATAATACATTACAATTTTAATTCTTCTTTTAGAAATCTAGTAGTTTTATAACTATAAAAGTAAAACCAAAGTATCATACACTACACTTACTCTTTCTGCAGCACTGGATATAATTATATTCTGTAAAACAAAAAAGTGATCAGTATTAGTCTTAGATAATTGAGAAAAAAAATGGCAGAACCACATAATACAAATGAGCAGCAATCCTCCTTTAACATTTAAGGCTCAAATACCAACTTAAAAATTTATTTATTTTGGGGGCTGGAGAGATGGCCCAGCGGTTAAGAACACTGACTGTTCTTGCAGAAGACCCGGGTTTGAATCCCAGCACCCACATGGCAGCTAACAACTGTCCATAATTCCAGTTCCAGGGGATCTCACAGCCTCTTCTGTCCTCCAAGGGAGTTGCACGACATGGGTGCACTTACCTACATGCGGGCATAACACTCATACACACATTAAAAAAAAAGTATTTATTTTTATTTTATGTGTATGAGTGTTTTGCCTACATGTATATGAGTGCATCCATGTCATGCAGGGCCCTCAGAGGCCAGAAGAGGGTGTCAGATCCCCTGGAACTGGAGTTACAAATGGTTGTTAGGCCTCATGTTAGTGATGGGAACAGAAGAACCAGGGTCCTCTGTAAAAACAGCCAGTGCTCTTAATCTCTGAGCCATCTCTCTCCAGCCCCTCAAATAACTTCTTTTAAAAAGGTAAATAATTAAAGTGAAAAAATGGAAAGACCTCACATCAAACCAAGGCAGTCAATACAAAACAGAATAGACAGGCTTTACAAACAAATCTTAGTACAGATGGATTAGATAAAAAAAAAAACCACAACTTTAGTTCAACTCACAGATAAACAGAGGTTATCTAGAGTAATCTTTCATAGTGACAAACTGCGAATTCCTTTAATTTGCAATTTATCAAAAATAAAGACTTTCACACCTTTCCCCTCCCCGTGTATTATCCCACCCTTCAGAGTTCTGAAAACCTTTGTAGAGATCATTGAAATGGAGGGATTTTTTTTTTCCCCTAGAGTATTGAGAATTTTCAGCTTTCAGGAAAAGGAATCAATATGACACCACCAATATATGATTAACTTCTGGGAGTTTAAAACATCGTAAGATTCTGGAACTATACCTTTCCTTTGCAGATCTGTGTCAAGTTGAGGGCATTGGAAATTGTGTACCTTCTCATTGTGGAGTCTTTGATGGCAGGGCTGTAGACGAGTTCAAAGCCCAGGCCTCGGTCAATTGCCTTCACCAGAAATAAAGAAGATAAAGCATGAACCATCAAAGACAAACAGAGTAGCCTACTTAATTTCCACTAAGGTCACTCCTCGCCGCTCTTCTTCCCCTTCACTCAATACCTCCTCTACATGGCAACGAACTGGCTTAACAAAGGCAGACTCACATGTAAATGTACCACCAGCTATAGAGCGAAGAAAACAGACTTGTGGCACTACCTCCTGAACACAGCTGTGGGGAGGTTAACTTTATATAAACAGAATTCCAGAAGATAAGAACAAAGTCAGTGTGCTAAGAGGGGCCACCACTCCACAACTGTCAAAAGAAAAGGATGTGCTTCCTACACGCAGGGCAAACTGTGAGCCAACAGAAAACCAAGCAATCTTAGTCAAGAATGAAGAGAAAAAGAAATGAAGATCTGAAAAGAGCCAAAGAACAGGGCAGGAAGGGCTCACCATTAAGTCATTTCTTGTATATATTGAATGATGGGACAGTAACTGCCATGCTAACTGAATGCTCTGTGCAGGGAACTGTGCTGAGAGTTGTAGCTATGTAATTAATCCTTTTAGGGGAAAACAACAACAACAACTGAACTGAACTGAACTGTGACAGAGACTTTATATGCATGCCACCACTCCTCTCTCCTGTTGACAATGGAATTTTTGCTGGGTTTATTATATAGCTCAGTAAAAACGACAAAATCTGGCTTTTTAAGATTTTACCTAGCTTACCACACAAGCCTGTTTTTCTTCATGAGGAAAAAAAGTTCTTTCTCATTTAATGTACTCTTAACAGATAGGGATCCACAAGTAAGAAAATCTGAAAGGGATTGAAATTCACCAGTACATAACTCAGTTTTCCTGATGAGGGAGTCAATATCTCTGTCCATTGATAACAGATGTGAAGTCTACTACTTGTAAAAGCTGGGATAGTTCTTACCTTCTAAAAGCTCTGACATATGCTATCAAGGAGGAGTTTGGGGGTGAGGAGAAATTAAGCAGCTAAACAGTAGAGGAAGGAGCATTTTCTGAAGGAAGAGGCCCTGGAACATGGAGGAGGATCTGGGGTTGGCACACGTAGAGGTCAGAGGCAGCAGAAGGAAGAATAAGCAGGAGTCCTGTGGGAGTTAAGGCTAAAGAGGATGGGAAGGGACAGCTGTATAGACAGTAACTGCTGGTGAGGAGGCTTAATCAATTCTGACAGCAAGGGGGAAACATGCGAGGGAGTTTTATCATGGAGGCAATAATCAGACTTGAAGTCACGTGGGCTACAGTGGGCCTCTGAATGAACCAAGGATGGCAAGCTCAGTCCAGGCAGGATGGTCTAGGTCTCTAGATGAGTTTCTGCCAGAGGTCCACTCCTGAGTGCTCACAGGGAATGGAGGAGGTTACTCTCTTCCAGCACCCCAGTCATCTAGATTTAATTCCGCTGTACATTGAAGGTGCTCCCATTCATTGTTTTTTCCATCCCCAAAAGCCTCACTTTCCTTCATGACTTTAAGGCTCTCAGATTTTAGATTTTCCTATATCTCTAAGTTGAGTTGGAATTTAAATACTACTTTCTACACTAAATCTTCCCCTTTCCCCTCTCTGAAGAACTTTTCCTCACCTCTTAAGTCCCTCACTTGCTTACTTCTAGGAAGGCATTTGTTATGACATGATGGGTGCTGTAATTAAATGTATGCTTCATTTTCATCCAGACTGTACACTTCTTAGAGCCAGAATGAGAATACCTCTTAGTAATACAAAAGACCACCACATATACAGAAATTATTTTGTGTGAATAGGCAGGCCATGGAAAGAAAGCTGTGTGATAATGCTGTCCACTGCAGATTATCAAGGAACCAGGACATACTCAGTAAATGAAACCCACAGATTAATAAAACACTGCCTTGGCTATTTCGGATCTCTTCCTGGCTATTTCTTTTGCTAAAACTAATTAGACAAAAGAGACTGACATATTTTTTTTCATCCTTCTAGTTGCAGAACTAAAACACAAAGCAAGGACAAAGACAGGAAATAAAAGGCTGTGAGCGATGTGGAGGGGGATGACCAGATCCCTAAACACGTCCAATTGAACAAATCTAAAAATTTAAACTCCTATGGGAATCACAGCAAAATAAAAACTCCTTTTGAAGGCTAGAAAAAAAGGAAGAAATGGACACAATTTCCAGCTTTATTTCTTTCAAACATTCTTGTCTTGGTACATTAATCAGCTTCACTTTAAAACTAAGAAAACTCTTGAAAAAGAAATTAAAGATAATGTGCTATTGAAGGTTGTGAATATTTTTTTCATAAAGCTTTTCCAGATGAATAAAATACAGTCATTACCTGGGCTACTGCTCCTAAAACCACTTTTATGTAAATTGTTGTAAGCTCATCTAATGAATGTTCACAATAACGTCTTTATACAGAACGACACTGCCTGTCTGATTGGCTTTTGTTCTCATGTCTGACCAGAGGTCCTGGAATGGGCAGATGATTAGATTTCTTGACTAATGAGAAACAATAGTCATAATGATGTTACCAAGGGCAGCAGTGTGACACGTGGATCAAGAAATACTGGCAATAAACTTCAGAGTACTAAAAACCTTAGCAAAGCTTTAGAGAAGAGGGGAAAATAAAAGAGCTGATCTCTAAAACAGTATGTTTATACCTTGCCATAAAAATTAGCTTCTAAACTGACTTCAAAAGCGGGACACTCTTCCAGTGTATAATTCTTTAAGATGATTTCATGACTCATAATCAAAGTAACGTAAGAAAACGACAGCAAGTTCTACTTGCATCTGTTTTTATCTGCCGTATCCCCACTGCTAAATCACTTTTTTTTACGTATTCTTCCAGTTTCTTCATACAAATAAGCAACTGTGAATATAGATCCTTTATTGTTACTCAAAAGGTAACTTGCATATTATCTTGCTTGACTTGAAAGTTTTTCCATGTCAGATCATAATTTTTATTTTCTTTTACAGCTGCTTAGCAATATATTGTAGAGGTGCAAAAAGTACAGTATTAATAAGCCTTTACTAATTGTTTTAACATAACAGCAGAGTAAACACTGACATGGGATAGCTGGGTATTGTGAGTTGAACTATGTCCCCATCCATAAAAGGTATGTCACTATATTAGTCCCAGCTCTCAGTATCTCAGAATGGACACTTCCTGGGAATAGGGTGGCTGCAGATGTAATGAAGATGAAGAAGTCATCCTGGAAAAGAGTAGGCTCCTAATGAAATATGACTGGTGCTTTTATAAGATGGCCAGAGAAACACCACAAACACACACTGACCAAAGGTAGTGGCTGTAAGCCACAGGTTGTCAGCAAACCACCAGCAGCAGCCTGGAAGGCTCAAGGAAAAGCTTCTGTACAGGTTTTGGAGGAAGTACAGCCTGCTCTCTCACCTTGGCCTCCAGAACTTTGAGACAAGAAATTTCTGTTGTTTTAAATAACTTAGTTTGAGGTATTTTGTCAAGGTATACCCAGGAAACTAATATATATCAGAAGGTAAACACATTTCTAATTTTGCTAGTGGTTGCTAAATTACCTACCTCTCACAGATATTATTCCAATTTATAGTTACAAGCAAAGAAAACAAATACCTGCCTTTCCATAGTCTTCTGACAGTATACGGCCAATCACACATGTGGCTTGGCTGTGTATTGCTCTTATTATAGCAAATTTAAGGATCTTTTAAGAAAAATTTGCATTTCTTGTGAAATATTTTTTGTCTTTTCCATACTCCTAATGTGTGTGTGTGCACATGCATGCACGTGTTCCATCCTTTTTCCAAATTACCGACTTCTGGGAGCTCTTTACATCTTTCCATCAGTTTGTTATTAAGTCTTCTAACTTTATTTCTGTCTTCTGTTTTTTTAAATTTGGACACTTACATGTTTGATCCTGCCAAGCTTTCTGGTACTGATGTAAGCACTGGATAGACACAGTGCTTAACACACTGATCTACATGATGAAAACAAAGTGAAAAGCATTTGCCTGAACTCAAGATCATCCACTTGGGTAGTTCTTGGGACCAACTCACTGCTTGTGACTCAGTTTACTAGGCATCTCTATTTTTTGGATCATGAAAATAGAAATCAACATTAAATGCTGAAGAAAAGCATTAGAAAGAATGTAAAACACAGTCACTAAAAGTAATAAACTTGAAGTCATTGCAGAATGGCAATAAAACTGAGAAAATTCAAGGGAAAGGGAAAGATACGTGTAGCTTAAAAAACTCTTGAAAATATATATCCCCAAAGATCATGTTCTAAAATAGGAAATTATTCTGTGCTTAGCAACATTCTGCTATAAGTAACTTTAAATAGCATTTCCCAGCAGGGAATGACAGTAGATTTGGAATCAAAGTTTGAGTACAAATCCCTAGGCAATCCTTTGAAGAGACATTTAACTGAACCAAACAACCCGAGATTCAACTCCATTACCTGTAAATCTTCCCAAAGTTACAGGGCTGCATTAGGTATGAAAGTAAAGTTGTAAATGCTAAATAGTAACATTGCTTGATAATCCAAACACAGTTGAGCCCAACATCCACCTCATGATAGGCGTTTAGATGTCTGCCAAGTTACTTAAGACTCCAAAAAGGTTTTGTAGATTTTAGAGGGAGCTTTATAGCTGAAATACGGTGCCCTAAGCATGTGGTGAGGATGACAGCAGGGCTGAGTGCTGTCAGGTATACAAGTGGAGAGTAAACCAGCTCTTAGACCTTCTTTTATAAACCAACTTCCTGAGATAATTCTCACATGGCTTCTGATCTATAGGTAGAAGACTAATGAATTACCTATCTTAATTTTCCTTGTTTCACTATAATATCCCCCATAAGCCCATGTGTTTGACACTTGGTCCCCAGCTGGTGGCACTATGCTGAGAGACTGTAGAACCTTTAGGAGATAGAAGTTTACTAGGGGAAGTCAATCACTGAAGTTTTATAGATTTGGTGGTTTGAATGAGAAATGTCCCCTATTGGCTCAAGTAGCTGAACATTTGGTCCCCAGCTGGTGGCACTGATCTGGGGAGGTTTAGGTCGCATGGCCTTGCTGGAGGAAGTTTGTCACTGGGGATGGGCTTTAGGAGTTCACAGCCTCGCCCCACTTTTCAGTTCGCTTTATCTGCTTTGGGTCTGCAGTTCAAGCTGTCTGCAGTTCTGCTTCCTGCTCCTGCTGCTATGCCTCCCTGCCATTATGGACTTGCCCTCTGGAACTGGTGCTGGGCATCTTTCATCACTCTCCACTTTACTTACTGAGGCAGGGTCTCTCACTGCACCTGGAGCTCACTGACTTAGCCAGTCTAGCTGACCAGCTCAGGGCTCTGCCATGCCTGCTTGATGTTTCCATGGGGCCTAGGCTCTGAATTCTGGTCCTCATGCTTCTGTGCTAAGTGCTTTATCTACTAAGCCATCTCCCCAGCCCCAAGTTAACCGTTTCTTACACCACACATTTTTTACCATGATGTACTACTACCTTGCCACATGCACCTATATAACAAATATAATTTGCCCTAAATATTGGGCATCCATATTTCTAGCTTTCTCTCTTAAATGAAAATAAGCAGATAAATTAATAGGAACATTTCTGCTCCCTGGCCAACTCACACTGTAGTCTTCTCTACTAGATGAAGGCTAAAAATAACTTGTGCAGCTTTTCCTTCCATTCCAGCATCTAGCTTTTATTAAACAACATATGTAAAATGTTCACAACAGCCTTTTTTTTAAAAAAAAAAAAAGAGTGGAACTGTGTTAAATACTACATATTCTTTTTGTAAATTTTTTTTTTTTTTACTTTTCAGAATTCTTAAACCAAAAATGTGGAAATTATGCCAGAAATACCCATCACACAACAACAGCTTTTCTGCATTTTCAGAGGTAAGGGGTCGGGGTGGGGATGTCCTGGTATCTCTGTCTAGACTGTCACTCTGCTCATGCTGCCCTAGTGCCCCACCTCCCTCCTACATATGCTTCTAGCCTAACTTGGACAAGGCTCTAATAACTAACAACAGGCATCTTGGCCAAGCTTCCCAAGATCACCCTGGTATTTTAAATCAGATACACTGATTCAATAGCACACTTCAGGAAGGTCTTATAGGCAAGATACTGGGTATCTAGAAAGGGCCATGCACAGCTGTGTACTCAGAAAGCTCAGTCTGGTTTAACATTAAAGACATGCTCATAAGAGACTCAATTATAAACCTTCGCCAAAATAATAGTCCCTCGAATCGTAACATGTCACATGACATGAGGAATTACGTGCTGGGCATGGCTCCATTCCATACTTGGCTTTGCACCACATGCCACAATTTTCTCCCAACCAAGGAGACAGAACCATGTGTGAGCTTACTAGGGTAAATCGCCTAGAATATGGGCATCCTAGTTCATCAAAGTGAAGAAAGGGGTGAAAAGGTTGTTAAATTTCACACAGATTTACAGTGGCTATACAAATCCTGGGTTATTATTTATATAGAACATGGGCTGATGGTCTGAGCTGATAAAAAGTGGAGGCAAGCTTTTAAAGACAGAGATTGCTCTTTCTGGACAGGAACAATACACAAAGCCAACAAGACTACCATAAATTTAGGCTCTGTATCAGCTTGCAGCTTTGACCATGTGGGCCACATCAGAGAGCTTATCTAATCACAGGCAACCAGTCACTGTCCTAACCTCGTGACTGAAGAGCTGAATGACTTCTTAGCTTTCATTTCCTCACTTTTAGTAAGTAAGCTCTGAGTAACACAGATCTCCAACTCAGAAATGTGAGTTAGGGTTTTAAAAAGGTTTATTTCTTTATTTAGAGGTATTGCCACTGACATGATTTGAGTTCACCAGTACTTTCAATATTTACTAGAACAAGAGCTGTTTTATAGTTTTTCCTTTAAATATACACCTACACATTTTTGGTACTCCTCAAGTTCAACTTTAGTACCTGTTTAGGGTTAGAACATAGCCATCCTAATTTTTTACACCAAATAGATAATCTTCTCCCCTCATTGTTGACCTCTAGTATTCAGGATCAAGCCAATTCCTTGGCAGAAAAGGGAAACGGAAATTGAGGAAGTTATTCTTCAGAGGCAAAAAATTATTCATGATGAAAACAATATTGACATTCTGACATGATTCAACAGATGATTTGGACTGCGTGCTAAACTTTTGTATTGGGTGGCAGTTTTGATAATACAACTGTTTTGGAAGCCACTATCTAATCCAGTATTCCTACGTTCTGGCTGGCAAAGCAAATAGCTACCACCTGTGCTGACCTCATAACTACCAAAATAGTTACTGGTGAGAAATAATATCACCTTTACATAATGGAAATGGGGAGGGAATTGAGACTTAAAAGGCAGAGTGACAGATGAAAGGCGAAAGGTATGGGGAAAAAAGAGAAAATTATATGGAAGGGTAATGAGAAAAATTCTAAATCAAGAGGGAAGAAAAGTTCCCAAATACACAGCCACCCTGTTACTATAAAAGCTACCCTAGGTTTTTATGGGAGCTAGAGTGCTTTGATGCTTATTATAGTTCTGCATACACTATCCCCAGGAGACTTGATGCCCTGCTCTCTTCCATATCTCTGTAACTAGTTGGTGTCTCAAAAAGTCTGTGTTTTTCTTTTCCTTTTCCATCTTAATGTCAATTTCAGGCTACAAGTATCTCTTCATTATTAGACACCCACTTGAGCAACAGTGCTCTTAATTTTTAACTGCTAAGCCATTTTAAAAACACTTGGCAATTAACTGGATACTTACTTTGAGACAAGGTCTCAGTATACTGCTGGTCTTGAACTCCTAGGCTCAAGTGATCCTCCTGCCTCAGCCTTGTGGGTAGCTAAGAGTGCCACTACAATGAGCTTAGATGCTTTTCTCTTTTTGTATGTGTACACTGTGTTCACAAGCGTATAAGCATGTGTGAGTGTGCACACACACATGTAGAAGTAAAAGGCAAACACTGAGTGTGTTCGTCAGTCATTCTGTAAATGCTATATTGAGGCAGTCTGTCATGAGAAGCCAGAGCTCACCAATTCAGTTAGTCAGGTGAGCCAGATTGCTCTGGTCTCAGCCTCCCAAATGCTGAGATTACAAGCAGGCTGCCAGGCCTGTCTCACTCTAGTATAGGTGCTAAGGCTCTGAACTCAGGTCCTCATACTTGCACAGCAAGCACTTTACCTACTAAGCCACCTCCCTAGCCCTCAGTTTAGACTTCCTTCTTTAAGTTTTCTTTTTCCCCTTTAGTCAGCTTAGAAAAACACCATTCTCTTCTACACCTGCCTCTATTACCTACGCTTTGTTTTTCTCCCTAATAAGACACATTTCTACTACTCTTCTAATTTGCTGATGCCAGTTTCTACAGACTCAAACACAGAATGGCAAGGGTAGCACTTACCACATTAATAGGGGGTCTTTTGAAGTAAAATGGTAATTTCTCTGTTACAGTTATACAGACTAAATCCACGTCTAGATGTGTGCAAGCAACCTGTCAAGAAGAAAAAAATAGATTAAACAGGAAATTGGCCCATGGAGGAATGAGGGGCAGTCACACCTGTCTCTCATAAATAGGTACGTTTATTCTGTAGGTGCTATGATGGTTCTAAGGTGAAATATAACCAACCTACCAAAAAACCAAGTGTTTAGTCACTCTTTCAGGCTCGGTTTGAGTGGTTTAAGTGTAACTCCACTGAAACAAGGTGGTCATCTATAGGCCTCAAAAGACAAGGCCTCAGACCCTCTAATTCATAAAGTTTTATGGATAGGTTATTGAGTTAGGCTCAGTATCTAGAATATCATTTCCAATTATTCCAGAAAGCAAAAAGCAACTGTTTTGAAATCAAAGGAAACAGGAAGCCAAAAATAAATGTACGTGTGGTCTATTTCCTTCACAAACTATTTACTGAGCACCATTGTGCCAGGAACTGTGCCAGGCCCGTAGTTCCAACCTATGTGTACTGAATGGCTGAAGAAACACTATCATGGCACTACTGATAATATTTTGTTTAAACATTAATGGAAACAGTTCAGATAAGTTAAAGGAGAGCTGAGACAAATCAAATGATAATGCATTTTTTTTACACTTTTTATTTCCCTTGCTTATAATTTTTGTTATTACTTATTGATCAATACTCTGCACTTACCTCTAAGAGAGTTCTGGAACTATTTACAAAAACCACATAAAAAATAAAATAAAGTGGTAAGGCAATCAGGAAAAATTAGGGGAGGAAACTAAAGCTGTAGAAAACGTTACAAACTTACAACACAAGGCAACATTGCTGGGAGAGGCCTAGACGGCTCTTATTTTGTCACTAGTTGACTTACAGAGGTAAAAAGAACAGGTTGTTTTGTATCACATTACCAATACTCCTGTTGACAGTGCTGATACATACAGGCTTCAAGAACAAATTCAAACTGCCTAAGTGGCTGAGTCTGAACCAGTGTCAGTGGCATGAACAGAGGAAAGAACAGAGGAAGAAAGTGTTAGAAACACCCTGTAGGACTAGCCCTGTCCCTTAGCACTGACAGGTTATCATATCTTATCCTTTTCAGAATGCCCACGGTAGTCATTCTTACTCCAACCCTGAAGCTTAAGAAGCAAGTGGTGTGGTGCACGCCTTTAGTCCCAGCACTAAACAGAGGCAGGCGGATCTCTGTGAGGTCGAGGCCAGCCTGGTCTCCACAGTGAATCCAGGTCAGCTGCGGCTACAAGGAGACCCTGTCTCAAAAAGACCAAAAAAGAAAAACAAAACAAAACAAAACAAAAAAAGCAAGTGGTGACTGGAGGCCACCTGACTTTAAGACAGTTGTAGTCACTTAATTAAGCCTGCGAAGCAATCCATTTTGGCAAAACCACTTGGCTCATAAACAATCTTTCCCATCCCAATTGCTCCAGCTAACTCAAAAAACAATTGAAAATTTGCTATAGCTCTGAAGAATAACAGAGGTGAGTTCAGCTTCTGTTCATTGTAAATTTAGCAGAGTAGCAAAGGTCAAAAATCTTAGTAAGACACTTGAAGATGACTTTAGCAATACCTATCAACCTCAATCTTCCACCCCCTCCCCCAATACTGAGATCAACCAGGGCCTTGAGCATGCCCTGCCAAGCAACTGCTCTACCACTGAGCTATATCCCTATATCCTCAATAACCATTAAACATTTAAATGTACAGACCAGTAATTTCACTTAGAGATATACTCTATAGACTCTAGAATTATATTCTATAGCTATAAATTTTACATAGGGTAAAAACAACAGTGCAAGAACAGTCATTATAAGACCAATCACAAGAGAGGATATAATTGAAAATCTTTCAAAGTATAAAATATGATCCCTTTGATCTCTTTAAAGGATGAAATATGCCAATGCCTTAAAGAGAAAGAGGTGCATTTCTAACTGATATTATGGAGCTCATACACCACAAAGTACAAAAGGCATGGCAGGAAAGAAAGAGGGGGAGATGGAAAAATGAAGGGAAGGTACAGCTAAGTATTTCTGAAAATATACACAAGAATGCTTGTGGTGGCTGCCTCTGGAGATTTAGGTGGAAGAGACTTCTGAAAAGATGCACAAAAATGTTAGTATTGGCTGCCTCTGGAGAGACAGACGAGGAACTTTAGTTGGGAAGGCATACTTAAAATGTTTTTATATTTATTTTATGTGTTTTGTCTGCATGTACGTAAGTAGACCACGTATGTGCAATGCCTGTGGAGGCCAGAAGAAGAGGGTGTCAGATGCCTCAGATCTGGAGTTAGGGATGACTGTTAACTGTCACATGGGTTCTGGGAACCAAACTTGGGTCCTCTGCAAGAGTAGCCAGTGCTCTTTTTTTTAAAAAAATATTTTTTTTATTTTTATTTTATGTGTATGCATGTATTGTCTGCACATAGGTAAGTGCACCCATGCTGTGCAATGCCCTCGGAGGACAGAAGAGGCTGTCAGATCCCCTGGACCTGGAGTTATGGACAGTTGTTAGCTGCCATGTGGGTGCTGGGATTCAAACCCGGGTCTTTTGTAAGAACAGTGTTCTTAACTGCTGTGCCATCTCTCCAGCCCCATAGCCAGTGTGCTTAACTGTTGACCCATCCCTCCAGCCCTGGGAAGGCATATGCCTCTATGCTGTTTGAATTCATTATCATGAACATAAATTATTTTTCATGAAATAACTGGTTTTTTAAAAAAAATACTGTTACATGATCTCTGCTCCAGCCCAATACAGTTAGAAACTAGGTTACTTTTCATCTATATATTGCTCATTTCTTCCCCTTTCCTATAGGAGAGGTCAATTGAACAAGCAACCTGTGTTAGTTTCAGTTCATACATTATAATAAACTTGTAGTTACAAAGGATAGCTCCATTTGGCTTCCTCTGATTGCTTGAATTTCAAGTTCCAAACTGAATTCCTCTGTGATGTAGCTGAATGTACAACTGCAGTACACACTGCAGTATGGTGGCACATATGTATATTTCCCAGCACTAGAGGCTTGAGCAGGAAGATCATGAACTCAGCCAGCTTGGGCCACATAGGTCTCAAAAAACCATAAAATGAGCTAATGATTTAGATCATCAAATACTCTCTAAATCATGAAAAAGATTAACTCATGTCCAATACAGTTTTGGAACTAAGTATCTCATTTTTCTCTGAAAATGATAGACTGTATATGAACAGATGTATAGGAATAGCTGTCTTTAATTTGGGGTGTAGAGGCATCTACGATGGTTTAAGATGTGTTTCCATAAAAACGTACAAATATATAGCAAAGATATATATGTATTTGGCAAAGGGAACCAGAGTGTGTGTGTGTGTGGGGGGGGGTTAGTCATCTCTACACCTTGAGCTTTTTTCATTGCTGTCAGCCTCTTTCTTATCACACCATACAAGGAAAAGTCAGGCTTCCCAACCCAAGAGAGATGCTCATAAATAATAGCCCTCAACCACACAAGTGTACAACTCCACCCCCCCTCCCCAATAGAGATGGTGAGGCTTCATCTCCAGTGATTCGTTCAGGAAGTAGAATCTAGCAATTTGTATTTTAACAAACATCCCAGGCAACTATGAAGGTGAAAGACTCAGATGATCTCCTGAGAAACCCTGCTTTGAAAGCCACTGCCTTCATCCAGACTGTAGCAGGAGGCCTCCAAAGATGGTGTGGACCCAGAGCCCTGGGATTCAGCGAGAATTCACTTCACTTCTTGGTCCACAAATAGCCCACCAAAAGGAGCCCACGCCTCCGTACCCTGCTCATGAGCCCAGTGACTGCTGACAGACTGCATGGCGTGGACCAATCAGAAGGCTGACTAAAGGGACTTGGGGGTGGAGAAAAGGGAAATATAAGGCCTGTCCCCTCTTGCATTAAACAAGCCTGCAGCACCTCACCTAGTGCTTGCTTCTACCCAACTCCCGGTGTCTGTGTGTTGACTCCGTGCCTCTTGCCCCCCCCAATCAGCAGGGTACCTGATCCAGGTCAGGGTCTTCACAGCTGGCCTGAGAAGAACCTGCAACACCTGGCGCCCAAACAGGGACCCCTGCCCATGGTGTTGGCAACATCCAGAACCTCGGTTTGTTCGGTAAGTAGGCCCCTGGATTTTTCTGTTTCTTTGGCTGCTTGAGGGTAAGCGAGTAGCCCCCTCCTCTATCCCCTCCACCCTGACTGTCATCTTTATTGTTGGACTAGTTTGTTAGATCAGGGAGGCACACTCCGCCATGTGGTCCCGAAGCCCACATCAGCACCTCCCCCCTCTCGGCTCATCCCGGTGAGTTCACATAAGGGCTGATCCACCCTGAACTCAGAGCCCAGGTTTCAGGTCACCCTGTTACCTGTCCCAGAGAGCATATGGCTGGAGGTGTCATGGCTTCAAGAAGTACTGTTGGGGATGAAGCCACTAATTTAGCTCTGTGGGTCTCCCCCGAAAACATGTGGGACCCTGACATGTGGATGCAGGTCCTCTTCCTGGCCCGAAAAAGGGAGGTCGGGTCAGGGATCACTCCCCCCGCATCATTTGTACCAATCCTCCTGGCCATCATTGCTAGCCTTAAATCCTCCTCACCTGAGGAAGTCATCTCGGCCCACAACAAACACTGCCAGGAGCAATCTAGTGTAGATCTGTCTATTACCTCGACCCTGGACCTCCCAGACCCCCCCAGACCCAGAGGTGGACACAGCCTCTGCACCCACTTCCAATAAGGAAGGAGCTCCTTTGCCTATATCTCAGGATACTCTCCTAGAGCTACCATGCCCAGAAATTCCCCTGCCCTGATACCCATGGAAGGAGTTACTCTGCCCCCCGCCTCCAGTAACCATCCTGCCCCTTCCCCTGCTACCGTGCCCCTCCCTCCTAGGCTGCCCTCCTTAAACCCTCACCCACCTTTGTCCACATTTCCAGTTAATGTTGGCCCCAATGCGGCACAGCGTCCGTGGCTGCCCACCCTACCATGCCCAGAAATTCCCCTGCCCTGATACCCATGGAAGGAGTTACTCTGCCCCCCG